CTCCAAAGACAACGAAATACTCGTAGTGACGAGAAAATATCAAATCAAAACAATAATGATGTCTCATTGTTGTTTTATGTGATATGTCTATCGCCTTTTTGTTACAACTGGCGTCTTTTCCTTACAAAGAAAAGCTTCTAAACAAATTGCTAAAATAGTTTAACTTTGGCTGCAAGCAGTGTAGTGAGTTCTGCGGCAAACCTCATTACGAGTGGAGTGCTTCAAATGGTGGCGCCGTGCAGGTGACAAATGTCAGCATTTGGTCCAAGTTGAAAAAGAATAAATGAAAATATAATATTGAAAAAAAAAAATTATTTTTTAAACCGATATCCTCTTCTTATTCCCGAAGATATTTGAGAAGAAAATTTTTAAATAAATATTATTTACACAGCAACCACTATCCACTAAAATCCTACTCCGATTTCTTGTGATCATTTTATTGCTTGATGGGTGACTAAAATTAGTTCAGTTCTGTAAAAATATTGTACACAAACATTTAAAACGCTTGAGCCTGTAATATGAGCCGTTGCAGAGTTTTACTGGTTTAAGTTTGGCTCGAACCGCAAATAGTTTAACGAAATCTATCTACACGGAACTGTCTCAAAATTGCGCTACTAGAGAATCGGTTCAATATTTTTTTTAGAAATCAGCGTAGATGAAAATCACCCTAATACTTTTATTTTTAGAGTAAGCAATATTAACAAAGAAATGTGAAATTCGCAAATATTCTTAATCATTTAGTTACTTGTGCACAGGTAACACGTGGTGACACGTCCTTACGGACCCATTAGATCCAACAACTCTTGCATTAGACAGCTTTAGCTCCAACACTAGGAACAGTTTTTGAGACTCTGATAACCGTACTCGTCGAACTCGGCAAAGAGTTCGACGTGCAACCTAACTCATACGTCAGCCAGCTGAGTTTCTCGCCAGATCTTCCCAATGGGTCGCGATTCCGACCCGGTCGTTTCCCGAAGCAGCTACCCTTGAGTTGTTAGGTCTCCATCAGAGGCGCTCGGGCAGCTGTTAGCAAATCCCATTCCTCCCGGCTGAGTCCAGGCTCGCCCAACCGTCCTGTTAAAAAAAAAACGTGATAAATGTTTTAGAGTGACGCGTCAATAAAACCGAAACTTTACAAATTGATCTTGTCTGTGTATCTTTTTGATAGTTTAAAAAGTCGTTCCCATATCTTATTCAGATTTCCAAGGCACGTAGTATTTATTTTTAGTGGTATTTTTCGTACATATAAAACGGATTTAAGGCGAAAGTTGTATTCACGATTTAAAAAATGTTAAACTATAGTAGATACCGCACTATAAATTTTCGAGAATTGTAACAGAATCACTCATTCGAAACTGTACTATACAAAATCAAAATGCATTGTCACTACATCCGGTTGATTTGCATTCAGTTTGGAAAATGTTGTGGAAAATACAAAACTTGTGTGTACAATATGGATTTACGAATAGGGCTGCCACTCATTTTTTATGAAATATTTTAAATAAGATTTACCCCATTACATACAAATTTTACGATTTCATCTGGCATTTCCTAATTTTTATTTTATTGTTCCGTAAAAGTAGCGTCAACTATGACTACGACTCGCGATAGCCAAATAAAATACCAAGATTTACCCTTCTGAAACATCACCTTTGATTTAGTGTATACCATTAAAAACAACCGCTGTTATTTATTTCTTGCCCATCACGATACCTTTTTTTTATTGGCCGTGTAGGCAGATGAGCATACGGCCCACCTCATGGTGAGTAGTTACCGTGAGTTCCCTACCGTTTAATAGTTCCACAAGCCTCCCTTGAAGAAGAACATGACATAGCGCTCGGGAAACACCGTAGGGGGAGCTCATTCCAAAGCCGGATAGTACGTGGCGAAAAAGATATCTGGAAACGCACTGTGAATGCACGCAGTGGTTCTAGTGTACCTGTTGCGAGTTTCTTAACGTTCTCGATAGCGTAAAAGTTAACTAAAATTTTGGGGCGCTGTACAAACTGCATACAAATTAGAATTTAGAAATTTATTTAGAAGAATAAATTTAGGACAAAATAGATAACGAAGAATTAGACATGTCACCAAATGAGTGACGGCATTCAGATTGTGTTTTTATAGTATCCGAGAATCACACTTCATACCAAATAGATAATATATGTATAATAATACCAGGTAAATAAGACTGATAATACAAACTAATAAACTTTTGGTTTCAGTCTAAATCTGAATTCTTGGAATTATTTTTATTTCTATTCTGCCAATGTATCTGTAAATTAAAGTAAATATTAAAGCCAGTTGCTGAGAAGAATAAGAAAAGAACACAAATAATATTCCAACGAAGAGAACCATTATTTAATTCAAAAATTTTCGCAAACAAATTTTATAAATTCTTTAAACATTTAGGGAGACAAAAGTACACAGCCGTTTGTACCCGAAGCTCTGCTTCCAGAAGGTTCTTATTCAAATACGTTAAAAGCTCGATGTATTCACTATTTGCTTACACTTTAAGGCCATTAGACGTTGCGAGAATTCCTTGAAGAGAAGATTACGATAAAACAAGTTATTATAAAAGAATTCACCATCACAGTTTCTGTTGAGGTTAAAAAATATATGTTTTAATTTATATATTTCGAAAAACAAATAAACATTACATACCTATTTTATTTATCAATTTACGTCACCCATCAGCCCCATCAATAATTAGACAAAATATTCAATATTCATCGTATCCTTTTTTATATTTTTTATTGCTTAGATGGGTGGAGGAGCTCAGAGCCCAACTGGTGTTAAGTGATTACTGGCGCTCATAGACATTTACAACGTAAATGCGCCACCCACCTTGAGATATAAGTTCTAAGGTCTCAGTATGGTTACAATGGCTGCCCCACCCTTCAAACCGAAATGCATTACTGCTTCACGGCAGAAATAGGCAGGGTGGTGGTACCTATCCGCGCGAACTCACAAGAGGTTCTACCACCAGTAAAACACGTGTAAAGTACATAATGGCTTCGAAAAATTAGTGCTCCAATCTCGTGCTCTTTCTCAGTAACGAATAAATGTTTGACGAACACGTCGCGATAGCGTCGTATCTCGCTTAATTCCTTTAGTCTCGAAAACCAGACATTACCACTGAACTGCAACTCGATCGATTTCTGAAAATTGTGAACACATATAGATACGACCGTATTGTTCATTTCTACCACTTTTTTTCCTAGCTATGCTGATAGCCTTGAGAGGCTATTTCTGCTTTGCCCTAACATGTAGGTGAGCTCACGGGGCTCTAACCTGACGACGTTGCTAACACGAACCCTAGCAAGAGGCGTGCTTCGCAGAATCTAACTCCGGATCGGAAACGCGACCCAATGAGAAGATCCGGCGAGAAACTGAGTGGGCTGTGTCTGAGGGTTAATTTAAGCGTCGAGCCCTTCGTCACATGCGACGGGTTCGACGAGAACGGTGACCGGTGCTTGAGCGTGTTTTCTGCCACGAAGCAGCCATACATACGGTTTTATAGGATGATACAGTCGTTAGATAATATTGTCCCAAGTTGATGACGACGCTTACGTTGCGCCAATGAGTCCACCGGTCACTGGGTTCTCGAGGTGCGCAACTCCGCGAACAGACCGTGCGGGCGCCCGCTACCACCACTATCACCTTCGCGATGTGGACTTCCCAGAGGTGGTGGGACGTCTGCCACCTCCACACATTGCAAGGATGGAGACCCATACGACCGTGTCGAGGATGAGGAGAAAGGACGTGGCCCTGTCTGTATTTTATTCTTGAATACTGGGTGGGACCGACTCGTGCGACTCTTCGAAGCCTGCTTCAAGTCAGAACGGCTTTCGAAGCAGTGGAAGACTGGCAGAGTCATCCTGGTAAGTAAGGAGGGAAGCTCCACGGACTCGCATGTAGAGTACCAACCCATTGCTGAACGAGGTGGATAAGATGCTAAAGCGAGTCGTTACCGCTCGCATCGTCAGGGTCTACCATTAAAAAACACAATGTCACGAAAAACAAGCTATCCTAGCTAAAAATTAGAACGAGTGACTGCATTGCACCAAAACAGACGGTGCAGTGAAATAGCAATTATGGTGAAAATAGTGTGAACCAAGTAATTTAAATGACATCTCTCCCGACACCGAAACGGTACCAAACTGCTACACGATGTTATATATCTAAAAATATATGTGTTTAAATTTTGTTTGTCTGTGTGTGTATATCAAATTCACTGCATAAACNAAAAATTAGAACGAGTGACTGCATTGCACCAAAACAGACGGTGCAGTGAAATAGCAATTATGGTGAAAATAGTGTGAACCAAGTAATTTAAATGACATCTCTCCCGACACCGAAACGGTACCAAACTGCTACACGATGTTATATATCTAAAAATATATGTGTTTAAATTTTGTTTGTCTGTGTGTGTATATCAAATTCACTGCATAAACATAGCGGAAACTAAAACCTCAGAGCGCTCTGTCGCCCCCGCGAAAGCGTTCGTTAAAATCTAAATAGCATTTATTATTAAATGTGCAATTTTCATCGTCCTCAATTTTGCGTTACACTTAATTGCATGCGGCGTGGCGCGTTGTCGGAGCAGGTCCGCATTCCGACGAACGCCGGCGAGATTTACAACGGATGCCTGAAGCCCGCCCTGTGTCTTAACGCCAGGAATTCTAGTCTGAAGCTCGACGCTGTAACTGGAATTCACGTTATTCCGCCGCGTATATTATTTATAGTAAGTTTTGGCCGCGGCTTTATACGCTTGAATATTGTGCGGGATTTAGTTTGCTTAAGTTTTTTTTTGGAACGAAGTTCCTTATGAGGCGATGCGGAGGGGTACCCTAACCGGGAAAAAACGTCCGTATCGTAAGATTTTTTCTATTTTGTTTGTTATCAACAGATGTTTCTGCACGTAAATTCAACAATTCCTGAATCGCGGTGACGAGATGTTACACAGTTGATAGAGGTTCTCGTATTTCTCTTTCTAAATCATTCTTACTTGACGTAGGGGGATACCGTGATCATGCAGGCCGTTCCCCCAGGGCGAGGCTACTTCATTGCACTGCGGAGTGGTTGACCCTTCAGTTTGTTTTTATTAATAAAAAAATCATAATATAAAATGTATACCCGAATAATTATTTTCTTTATACCTCGAGTAGAAATTAAAATTAATATTTTTATAATAAGGAACTTCGTTCCTATCCGGTGTCCCTCGACACCACACATCTTTTTTTTTATTGACCTTGTAAGAGCAAACGGCCCACCTAATGGTGAGTGGACTTCAGCAATGCCAGGGACAGAGCCAAGCCGCTGCCTACCGTTTAGTACTCTCCACAAGCCTCGTTTGAAGAAGGATATGTCAATGAATGTTTTGATTTCGCTACTGCTCGTTGCGTAAACTACCTTGACTATTTTAAGATGGGCGGACGAGCTCACAACCCACCTGGTGTTAAGTAGTTACTGGCCCATAGACATCTACAACGTAAATGCACCACCCAAGTTAGCTTCAATATCTTTTCATCAAAATGTCAGTAACTGTTCAAAAGTTATGAAATGGCATGATCCAATATGGGTTCTTTGAAATTTTGTGCATGAGTAACATCAGATTTATCTCGTGGAAAACGTCTAGTTGTGATGCCAATACTCTCACAGAAACAACTAACATTGATCTGCTGATATTTGCCACTGTTACCCAATATTGTTAGGCAAACACTGCAAAACAAACCATTTTAACATCAGAAGACCTAAAATTAAGTACCCGCTAGACCTGCACTCAGGAACTATACACTATTTTTGAAATAGGCCACACTTAGCTCCTATCGATAACTTGATTCAGCAAATTTCCCGCAAGCATTTTTTACTATCATCGGGGGAGCCTAAAATGCCTTAATCGACTTAATAGCACCTAGATCCTTAATGTTATACTCTAAATGAATCTATTTGTAATTGGTGAACTGGTAATTTCACACTTCACAGTTATCTTTTTTTTATTGCTTAGATGGGTGGACGAGCTCACAGCCCACCTGGTGTTAAGTGGTTACTGGGGCCCATAGACATTTACAACGTAAATACCGCCACCCATCTTGAGATATGAGTTCTAACGTCTCAAGTATAGTTACAACGGCTGCCCCACCCTTCAAAACGCAACGCATTACTGCTTCACGGTAGAAATAGGCAAGGCGGTGGTACCTACCCGTGCGGACTAACAAGACGTCCTACCACCAGTAATTACGGAAATTATAATTTTGCAGGTTTTTTATCATTCCCTCACCGTGGAAGTCAATCGTGAACATTTGTTAAGTACGTATTTCATTAGAGAAATTGGTACCCGCCTGCGGGATTTTAACAACATCGCTAGATCTAATGCACCGGACGTCTTATCCTTTAGGCCCCGACGACTTTTATATGCCGTAAATTTAAGCCTTCGAACATTTGACAAACATTGGACCACATTATTAGACAATTACTTTCGGCAACAATAACGAAATAAGAAAGCAAATTACTGCTACATGACTTGTAAACTACGCGCGCCGGAAGGAACCGACCGTCACTTCCGTTTTCCTTTCAGCGTTTCGAAGCCGGCGTTTTGTGTCAATGTAATTACAGCGTCGGCCTTCTCGTGTATCTTAAAATGTAGCTAACGACCTCATTTGATGAGTAGAATAACCGGAAATAACTCAGCAGCTGAGATACGATTGCTGATCAAAGTTTGAACAGAAACGTATAGTTAATTAATAAATTTATTAGAGCCGAGTGTTGCCAATGTCTTGTAGCAAACTTCCATCATTTCAGAGAAATTATTTTCGGAAAATCATTTTAGTCACGTCCCATAAAGCATTTGAAAAATTTCCATGACAAGTTCTATCTTAAAACAAGGTTGAACAAAATATATATGTATGGATCGGGTATTGCAAACTCATTTGATTTTTGTGGAACATTCACACGTTCTTGTTTTAAGGGTAAAATAGCTGAAACATATTGATAGTTAATGCGCCTGTATGTATGTTGGCGTTGATCACACGTGAAAAAAAATCTAGATTCAACTATACTCATTTGAAAATTTCTCGAATGTGCTCTAGATACATAATAGTTTTATTATTTACTAGCGACCCGCCCTCGCTTTGGTTCGAGAGCTGTAATCTATTATTGATCTTATTGAAATTTGTGTAATATAATCTGGCCCTGTCAGTAACAAGCACAATAAAAATGAACGCAATAAACAAAAAATCTAATCTTTCAGTTTCTTATTTTCATGGTTCAGTATTTTGGCGATAATACTTTTACAAATAAAAGAAAGATATATGCTGTCACTGGCTTTTTTGTAGTACTATTTAAGATAGCCATTTCCATTTTACATTATACACGTGTAACTTAAAGGGTTTTTGCGACGCACGCCAGAATAGCTCGCAGATGGAAGATTTTTTCCTTGTTACTTGACACGTATCGTTATATTTTGGGTAATTCCCACTATACCTTTATAAATTACAGCCTATGTATTATTCTGATGTGTAAGCTATATTATTGTAAAGTTTAATCAAAATCCATCCAATAGTTTTTGCGTGAAAGAGCAACAAACATAATTACATCCATACATTCTTACAAACTTTCACAATTTTATAATCTTATAAACACTAGCATACGCCCGAAACACATCAACACACAACAATACGTTATTTGTTACACGCGACATAATTCATGTGTGCGACATGTCACGCCAGCACATACGAGAGGCTTTAACGACATAAAGTCGAGACTCGACTCCGGTACATTCATTATTTAAACACAATCGCTGACCGAAACGGTACTATGCGTTCTCGATTGAGGAAAAATAATTAGGCATAAACGATTGAGGCTCTCAATCGTTTCGCTTGTGCTTATTCTTCTTCTTCTTCTCCATCGCTCCCTCATTGCTGAGGATCGTGACTCCGTTTCAGCTTGTCGACTGCCAGTCTCCATCGGTTCCGGTCAGTTGCTTGGTGTAGTGCAGCGCTATGTGGTCCGCTGGTTTGCTCGGAGATCTGGTCGGACCAACGTTTCGGGCTCCGGCCTTCTAGGACGTTTTCCTTCTACTTTTCCAGTGACCATCAGACGTTCCAAGCTATCTACACCTCTGCGGGCAACGTGGCCAAAGTAGCGCATTATGCGTTGCAGACAGGTGGTAGACAGGCTTTGAGCGTTCACCATTTTAAGCTGATGTAGGACCGAAATGTTCATACGGTGGGCTGTCCATGGAATCCTTAATAGACGGCGCCAACACCACATTTCAAAAGCATCAACTCTGTTTCGGTCAGCTGCTTTTATGGTCAATGTTTCTGCTCCATAGAGAGCGATTGGAAAGACCAGTGACTGCACAAGATTTATTTCGGTCCTATTCGAAATTATTACGATCTTTCCAAACTTTGCTCATCTGCGTCATCTCATTGTGCTTATAAGTGCAACTAAATATTTCTATTCGATTTGATTTTAAAAGTAATTTACACTGTGATTGACATGTAAGTGTAATACGCCCAATTCAACTAGTCTTTACTCTCATATCCAGCCTCGGAAGGTCCTGGTATCGTCGGAGACTTCACGACTTTAATTCCCCAGCACTCACCTTGAGACGAAATTGGACTTTATTGTATTTAAAAACACAACAACACAAGTAAATATTGAAAAACAGCCATAAAATATTGGACATAATAAATCAATACATACAATGATATAATTTGCTGCTACTAAAAATTTACTAGTAATAGTAATATTAAAATAATATACTTTTGTCCTACCTATGCTGATAGACTTGAGAGGCTATATCAGCGTTACGCTAGCGTGTAGGTGAGCTCTCGGGGCTCAAACCAGAGGTGTTGCTAACACTGGCCCTAGAAAGAGCAGTGTTTCGCAGAATCTACCACCGGATCGGAAACGCAACCCACTGAGAAGATCCGGCGAGAAACTCAGTGGGCTGTGTCTGTGGGTAATATACTTATAATACTACGAATATACTACTAATATTTTAACAACAGACCATGGTGATATAAATTTTCTTCTTCTTCCTACATTAAACATGCAAGCGCCGCATGTATTCTGGCCCTCTACCTGATGTCAAATTTCCTTGTATTATATCTCCAGTAGTATATCCATTGCAACGCGCCATATGGGGAGGGTCTTTTTCTGTTTCTTCTTTTGGTANTACTTATAATACTACGAATATACTACTAATATTTTAACAACAGACCATGGTGATATAAATTTTCTTCTTCTTCCTACATTAAACATGCAAGCGCCGCATGTATTCTGGCCCTCTACCTGATGTCAAATTTCCTTGTATTATATCTCCAGTAGTATATCCATTGCAACGCGCCATATGGGGAGGGTCTTTTTCTGTTTCTTCTTTTGGTTTCTTCTTTTGGTAAGTAATCTTTTACTTTATTATAAACATTAATACTAAAATTTCGATTTTATATGTCGGAAATGAGACAAGGCAATTTTAATAAAATTACCTTGATCTGGTATTTTGTTCCTATATCTTACAAAGTTTTACAATGTCATAGTGCTACGAAGCGAACTCTAAGACTTATTACTTATTTTTACATGGGAAGTTTAGCAACACAAATGGAATAAAACAGAGCAGTAATCACTTTTTAATTTTTAAACAAACAGAGTTTCTACTTATATTTTGATCTCTTCGAAAATCGGCAGTAAACAGAACACCGTGCTCAAGTTACCCCTTTTAAAATGTTAGTTCGCCACACGTCAACCAATAAAAATACTTTACTACAGATTGATCAGGTGACGGTAGAATTAAAATTCTTAAATAAGCTGTAAGTAGCCAATGTTGAAACATAGTGACTTTTCAGCATTGAAGAGACGGCGGAATCTTGAAATATGATACTGGTCAAGCCACAGATAAAATTACGCGCTTCTCATATTACCCGTTGGTAACATGCAACTCGATTCCAATCTCACGTTTATGTAAATTAAATTCGAGAAACCACAGTACCGGCTTTACACATAACGTTACGAACTTTCCGAAGTTCGTTAATGTCGTAATTAATTCACGTATTCAATTATAATCCGTTAGATGTTCGCTAAAAACGCATTTAAGACTTCTCATAAATACATAGTACCTGTTCAAGTGATATATTCCCGAACACCTTTGTCAGCATA